AAAATTAGCTGAGCATGGTGGCACACACCCGTAATCCCAGCTACTCGGGAGTTGAGGCAGGAGAATCATTTAACCCAGGAGGTAGAGGTTGCAGTGAACCGAGATCACACCACTGCACTCCACCCCTGGCAACAAAGTGAGACTGTCTCAAAAAAAAGAAAATGATGCTGACAGTCTCTGTGGAAGCAGAGAGGCAAGTGAGGAGATTACTGCATTGTCCAGACTGGAGGTGTTGGTGGCTTGGACTAAGGGGGGAAAAGGGTAAGGTGAAGAGAAGCACCCACATTTGGGATGCATTTTGAAGGCAGGGCTGAGACTTGCTGACTGGTGGGGGGAGAACAAGAAGAATCAAGAATGACTTAGGTCCTTGGCCACCAGAACAGTGTGAGACAGGTGCTGATGGAAAGAGAGAGGACTGGTGGTGAAGCAGCTTTTGGGGATGAACTCAAGTTTAGATTTGGACACATTAAATTCATAATGACTACAAGTCAAGTGGACGTATCAAGTAAGGCTGCTGGACAAACAAGTGTGCATAAACTTGGGGACTGGTGAGGGCTGGAGATGTGTATGTGAGTCAGCAGTGCGTGGACGGTATTTAAAGCCTGGGGAATGGCTTAGACCACCTAGCGATAAAGAGGAGATGGCCACAGATTTGGCCCCAGAATGCAGATGTCAGGAAGAGGATCAGGACACAGAAAAGGTGGTCAGTGAAGCAGAGAAAAGCAGGAGATAATATTCTAAATCAAAATGAAGAAGAAAAAAACTTTCAGGTACAGACTGGTCCACTGAATCAACTGATGTTTAAGATTACACAAATGAAATTTTTCCAGGCACACTGTAGTTCCTTCTTCCCAAGCTCCAGCTCCTTAAAGGAAGAAATGAACCCTATCTTCTGAAGAAGGTTCTGTACCCAGGCTTTAATGCCACAGATATGGGCTCAATTGCTTATAAGTTGTATGACATTAAATAAGTTATTTCTCTGTACCTTGATATATATCCTCTGCATATCTATCACTAAATGCTCAAGTGAACTACTCCTATAATATCTCACATAAACATCTTATTCTGCTTGAGACCAGAAATTTGGGACTACCCTGGGCAACATGGTAAGTCCTCATCTCTACAAAAAATTGTTTTAAATTAGCTGGACATGTTGGTGCATGCCTGTAGTCCTAGCTACTTGGGAGGCTAAGGCACGATGATTGCTTGAGTCCAAGGCTGCAGTGAGCTATGATCAAGCCATTGCTCTCCAACCTGAGTAACAGAGTAAGACCATCTCAAAAAAATAAAAAAGAAACTCTATCACTTTTGTGATTTTTCTTTATAGCTCTATATTAAGATCCTTTACAACTGTCTTAATTGGCCCAAACAGGATTAAGGTTATGGTCAGACTCAAAATAAACAGGACTGTGTCTGAATCTGACCTCTACCATTTACCATCTGTATAACCATGGGTGAGTTTCAGAATCTCTGAGATGTTCCTGCTCTGTAACATAATACTATATACCTCATATATGGTGGGTTATGTGAAGATTAAGAGCTAATAGATACACTTAGCAGAATAAAAGTTCACTAGACAGTACTTACCTATTTGTATCTATAACACTAATACTTTTCATGTTTATGGACTGGTAACTTGAGAAGTAAGATACAAGCTAGGTCTCCCTTCCTCCTTCCAGAGCACTAGCATGGAGAAAGGGAGCTACAGTCAGCTGTTACTCACATCCAGTAACTTGGGAAGGGCCAAGAAGGTGGATTATCAAAGCAAATATATATCATCAATTATTCTAGAAAATATCAGGGATGTCCTCCTCCGTATTTTGTTGAGTGGATCACCACTATTAAATGCAGACACTCAAGACAGAAATTCAAGCATCATCTAAGTCTTTTCCTCTCATCCCTCTGACATTTTATTAACAAGATGGCAATCTATTGTACTTTCAATATGCTATGCTTCATCAAATCTAAGATGCTGTTATGATTCTTTTATGTAGCTCTAAGAAAGAAAAAATGCCACTTAAACTGCGACATGCCACTGACTTTTAGAAGTGTACAGGTTTGAGAGATACTAAAATGTGAGGGGAAAGAGTACACCTTGCAATTGATGAAATTCAGGCCCTCTCATTCTACCATTGCTTAGTTCAGACTCCCATCATCCCTTGCCTTGATTAGGGATGAAAGCTCCCGTCTTCCCTCTACCCAGCCTCTGCTGCCAAAATGATATTTCTAACGGCCAATATCACCAACCAACCCCAAATCCTTCTATAGTTCTTCTCCCATAGCCGCCAGTCCACATTCTCCTGTTTAACTGGCAATTCCCCAAATGTCATATCGCTTCTGGTCAATGTCCCTTCCATGTTATTTTTTGTCTGGAATATTTCTTCCTCCCCCTATTCCTGTATCTCCTAGCTTTTGGACATAGGATTTTCTAGGCAGGACACATCTCACTCCACCACTCTCATGCCCAGGACTGCTTTGGTTGATATGGCTTAAATGAATGTCCCTTTCTTCATTCACAAACTCCATCCAAAAATGAACCCTACTCTAACCCCTAAAAGACAAACTTCCTATGAAAGGGCAGTTGGACCCTCCAGAAAGTTCTAATTGTATGGTTTTCAACACCAAACAGTCATCAGGTCCTCCAAGAGTCTTCCCAAATTCTCCAAGCTCAGTAAGGAACCTCTCCCCAGAGCTCCATAGTGTCCCTGCATACCTCTATGACACCCCTTCTTAGAACATCTTGTAATTGCTAACTTGTTTCCTTTGCTACTACACTATGAGCTCCTTGGAAATAGTGATTTCTTATTCAGCTCTATTATTCCCCAGAACCTGGAACCTAGAAGGCACTTAATACTATGAAATTATCAGGTGAATAGATGGATGCGTGAATAAAATGTGATTACTGTATATAATCACTGGGTCCTTGTTCCCCATTCTGAGGTAACCTAAATCACCTCACATTGCCACTAGCCCTTCCCAAGTATGGTAATTGGCTTAACCAGGAAAGAGCAATGATACCCCTTGGTGGTAAATGCAGGGAGTACATCTTACTGAATAGATTCTTTTCAATCGCTGCTGTCCTCCTCTTGTGGTTAGGAAATGTCAAGGGTGAAGGAAATTTGCATTTTCAAATGATCAAGCTGATGAGTGTATGCAGAATGGATTGGAGAGGGGATAGAGGGGGAAGCAGGGATGCCATCTGGGAGGCTGTCTTGTCAGAGTGACAGTCAAGTCCAGATCTGTGACTTCGACACCATCACTCTTAACCCACTTTGTGATACTGCCTGTTTTACCTAGAATTTTCCTTTCTCCCTCCCAACTGAGCACTGTGGCAGATAGATTCTAGAATCTGTTCAGTGATTCAATGATGCCCTCCTTCTGGTATCCATGCCTTTGTATAACTCCCTCCCTTGAGAATGGGCTGGCCTAGTGATTTGCTTCCAACCAACAGAACACAGCAAAGGTTATGAAATGTCACTTCTGTGATCAGACTACATAAGACTGTAACTTCCATCTGGCTAGCAGACTCTAATCCTTGTTTACTTTGCTGAAGAAAGCTGCCATGTTGTAGAGGCTCATGTGGCAAGAAAGTGAGGGCAACCTCTGGACAACAGTCAGCTAGCCAGCAACCCTAGAGGAGCTGAAATTCTGCCAACAATTTAAGTGAGCTTGGAAGCAGTCCTTCCCCAATCAGGCCTAAAGATGAGAACAGCCCTGACCAATAACTTGATTTCAGCCTTGAAACCCTGAAGCAAGGGACCTAACGAAATGGTATCTAAACTCCTAACCTATACGCTCTGAAATAGATGTGTTGCTTTACACCATTAAGTTTATAGTAATTTGTTTATCTGATAACTAATAAAGCTCCTATTCAAAATGTGTCATCACCATGCAGGTCAGAACCTTCTGAAAACCTGGGAAACCTTCTGTAGCCAGAATCCACTACTGTACCACAAATGTCTCTTCCCTCTGGCTCTGCAGCACCCCAGCAAGACTTCTGCCTACCAGTCCAAAGAACATTCCCATGTGAACTGAGCAACAAGAATATCACCTGGGTGAGCTTGTTAGATTCTAGCCCATCCTGTGCTAGGCCTTAGGTGGACCATTTACAGCGCACAAAGAATGCAGTTTATGAGGAGAGACCACGAATGCCGGGATGGGGGTGGGGGTGGGGGTGGGGGTGGGGCTGGGAGGGTTGGGGGGTGCTCAGGGTATTACCAAGCAGATCAACATAAGGAACATCCATCCCCAGAAAGAAACTTGGGCAATTGTCAGTTCAAGTACACATCTCTCCCTCCTTTTACAGCATATTGCAATAGATGATATGGCACTGAGGGAAGCACAGCCATGCGAAATAACCCATAAACTTAGCTAATTCCAATGAACATATATGAAAGAAGGTAAAGTCCTATAAGGGCCCAGTCGGAATAAGAACTACAGTAATTTTGCCAAAAGCCCTCGTTAAGTTCTTAAATAATTCTGGTCAAAATGAATTTCAGGCCGGTTAACTCACAATCAACAATCTGGCTGTTTCTCTTGTTTCTCACTCTACTGCCTTACTCTCTTCCACAGTATTTTTAAGTTGCCATTTAAATGGGGTTGTTCTGCTGCAGGTGGCTGAGCTTGGGATCTCCTCCTCCAGAGACTACAGACTGGATTCTATAATGATTAGTGGCAGCATCCAGTGTCTCTTCCAAGTCTAAAATTTGTGAGTTTCAAAGTTGACGCTCCATAAACCCGGCCTTTGCTGCTGCCTCAGATTCTCCGTCACTCTAGCAAGGCAGAGAGAGCAAAAGGGGCAAGACAAACCTCATCGACGGCACAGAAATCCCAGAATCACACCCTCTCTGGTCCAGCCAAGCCAAGTTTTTTTTTTAAATCACCCTCCATTACCCAATATTCCCATTCCCAGATGAATTGGAAACTGAAGTTACACCAACTGTGAGACAGCCTCAACCCCAATGTTAAATACTACCAGTTATTAAGACAGAAAACAGTTCTCTTTGGAAAACGATCCACCAAACTTTTTGCAGAAAGAAGAAACTCTTCTTTCTCTAACACTTTAAAGGGAAGAAGGGATGGAGAGGAAGAAGGAAAAGTACATTAGCCAAAACTCTGAAAGTGACTGACTTGGGTATCTGTGGCCCAGAGAGGATCCCAAAAGACAGTGACTCTCAGTGATTATTACCATCCCAATTAAAAGCCATAATGACCGCATTTACATTCACACAGGGTCTCTTTCCAAGAAGTTTGTGATTCACCTACAGACACCGTCAATTCTCAAGGCAACAAGGGGGCAACAAGGAGGTGACAGCCAGGTCCTGTGAGAGCTATTTGTCAGAGCCCCCTCTCAGTGAGTCAGTCCCTGGAAGTTGGGTTCAGTGCATGGAGGCAGGGCCACTGACTGGCTTAGCAACTTGTCCATCATGCTGATTTTAGCATCTTGCTTCTCAATGTCCTCATACGGAGTCCAGGACAAGTCATGCTGTAGCTTGTAGGCACCAAGGAAGTCATGTGGACAACTTGTCCCCCATTCCTAGAGAAGGCAAAGGAGGCAGTTCCCATCAGGGTGGGTTGTAAACAAACTGAGCTCATTTCCTAATTATGCCACATCTCTTTTTTGGCTTTTCACTTCACACTAGTCAACAATCTTTGGAAAGCAGTTACTGTACACATCAGATCCCTCCCTTAATAGAGAAAATGAATGAAATAATTTAAGGACAGTTATATTTTTTAAAGTCATGTTTGAACTCACATCATTTTCTAGGAAACCACATGTATACCAAAAATTTCTCAGAGGCTAGAGTAGATTTTGGGGCAAACTACGTATATTCTTACCTTCGGAGAAATGATGGAAAAATACTGCTGACCACTCTCCCGTTTATAGAGGTAGTAAATGTTGCCAGGTTTTTTCACTATATTACAAGCTACATGGTGCAGGTCGGCATCTCTGTGAGCATTTTCCAGTATCTATGATGAACCACAGAGATGTAATGAATTAGATACTGGAGATAAAAGGTACCCATATTCAGTGATCATCCCAATTAAAATTTGGAAACTTTTCAATGCTTAGGATCTTGCTCCCCTATAGCAATGAATCACTACTGAGATCCAGATTATTAAGAAACAAAAATTAAGATTATGCTGCTATGCTGTAAAAATGCCTTTAGAAGAATTATATTTCAAACTAGGCAGTGATTCATGCCTGTAATCCTAGCACTTTGGGAGGCCATGGCAGGTGGATCACTTGAGCTCAGCAGACCAGCCTGGGCAACATGGCAAAACGCTGTCTCTACTAAAAATACAAAAAGTTAGCCAGGTGTGGTGGTATGTGTATGTAGTCCCAACTACTTGGGAGGCTGAGGCAGGAGGATCACTTAAGTCCAGGAAGCAGAGGTTGCAGTGGGCCGAGCTTGTACCACTGCATTCCAGCCTGGGTGATACAGTGATACCCTGTCTCAGGGAAAAAAAAAAAAAAAAAAAAAGGCATTTCAAAATGTTGAGCATTAATGACTCTGGGTAATTTTTAAGTTTCTTTCCTATTTTCTGTGCTAAGTACATTTCTTTTATAAATGAAAACATAGTCCCCTGTTAAAATGCTTTACCTCATGAAAACTTCTCCTGGTAAAAACAAAACATGGGAGGCCAAGGCGGGCAGATCACCTGAGGTCAGGAGTTCAAGACCAGCCTGGCCAACATGGCAAAACCCCATCTCTACTAAAAATACAGAAGTTAGCTCGGCGTGGTGGCAGGCACCTATAATCCCAGCTACTTGGGAGGCTAAGGCAGGAGAATTGCTTGAATCCGGGAGGTGAAGGTTGCAGTGAGCTCAGACCGCACCATTGCACTCCAGCCTGGACACAAGAGTGAAACTCTGTCTCAAAAACAGCCAAACAAACAAAACTTATACTTAACCTCTTACGCTTATTCCTTCTATTTTACTCAACACCACTACATTTCTAGGAGGTACTAAAGACATAGAAAGTCACAATGATTATAAACAAGTTCAGCTGATCCTGAGAATTGAATAAAGAAAACGAAAGCCTGTCTAAAAGTCATTCCTTACCTTCCTGGCTTGTTCTTGCAAATGCTGGATTTGTTCAGCTATGACTGTCAGCTTGTTGGTGGCATTTGCTCGTATGAAGTCATCAGCCTACAGGTGAGACAAAACCAAACTGTGGGCTGAAAGAGGATAAGACTTCTATGATGTTCTTATTTGGATCCCAGTGTGGAGAGTTATGTTAATATTTTGCTTCTGTCTAACATTTTTTCCCATTCTCTCCACTGCCCCATAGCCTCCCACTCATCCCAAGGCCCCATTCAAATAACACTGTTATGAGAAGGCCACCCTGATATGACTCCACAATAGAGTTAAGTGCTCTCTTCTCTTTCCCTTAGCTTTCTACCCTTTCTCTATGAACTGCAGTTACACTGAATTTCTTTCTCTTTCTCTCTCTCATTCTGGCTCTCAGTCTCTCTCGCTCGCTCACTCACTGCCAAATATATTCAATAAACCCTCTCCTCCATCCAATCCATTTTACCTCCTGCTCTTTACCTAATTAACACCACACATTTCTCAGGTCTCCATTTTCTCATGTTTAAACATTTGTGAAATCAGGGATGGGTTTTACAACAATAATTAAAAGACACTTCTGATCTGGCCCTTATCATCTGCTAATGTAGAACGCTACTAGATACACGTAGAAAGTATTTGGCTTTTTCTGTGTGACTCCCCCACACTCACAGAACTGAGAAAAGTATGTGTTAATCTGACCATTTCCTCAGTTAAATTATTTACATCACAACAACTTAAATTTTAACTTATACACTCATTTCTAATTATTACTTCAAACGTATTTTAAAAGACTGCACTATGGTATGGACTGGAAACAGTTATAATGTACACAGAAGACTGCCTGTCATGTGCCATGAAGTGCAACTGAAGGCAACGGAAATTTTTTTTTTTGAGACGGAGTTTTTGCTTTTGTCGTCGAGGCTGGAGTGCAATGACGCAATCTCGGCTCACTGCAATCTCCACCTCCCGGGTTCAAGCAATTCTCTAACCTCAGCCTCCCTAGTAGCTAGGATTACAGGTACCTGCCATCATGCCCTGCTAATTTTTAGTAGAGACGGGTTTTCACCACGTTGTCCAGGTTGGTCTCGAACTCCTGACCTCATGTGATCTGTCCACGACGGCATCCCAAAGTGCTGGGATTACAGATGTGAGGAACTGCGCCCAGCCAGGAAATTTCTTAAAATAAATCAAATTCTCAAAGCTAGAAGAGACTAATGTGACCAATTCATATACTGGGAAGGATTACCACTCAAGCAATAGAAATCTGTCAAAAACTTCCAGCTTACTTTTAAGAAAAGCTGATTAACTTCCAGTAGTACACAATTAAGGTAAAGAAATTAGGAGATTGAACTGGAACTTGAACTAAGAAACATTAAAGAGAATTTACTGGTTAGTTGAAAAGTCTTCAGGCAAAATTCAGGTATAAGTTAATGTTATGAGTGAACAGAAACCATACAAGTAAACTGAGTTATTTATCTGTTCCACAAATGTATTTTAGGCAACTACTGTGTGTCAGACACCACACTAGGCAGTGGGTATACTGGCAAACAGGAAAGAAAACACCCTGCCTTGTCAAGTTGACAAGTCAAGTCTAATACAGTTTAACAGAAATGTGAGGCAAGTCGCATATAAAATTTTAAATTTTCTAGTAGCCACGTTAATAGTAAATTAATTCTTTTTTTTTTTTTTAAGACGAGGTTTCACCATGTTGGTCAGGCTAGTCTTGAACTCCCGACCTCTGGTGATCCGCCCGCCTTGGCCTCCAAAGTGCTTGGATTACAGGCATAAGCCACCACTCCCGGCCCAACAGTAAATTAATTCCAGCAATAGATATCTATATATATTTTTTGAGACAGAGTCTCACTCTGTCGCCCATGCTGGAATGCAGTGGCACGATCTCTGCTCAGTGCAGCCTCCGCCTCCAGGATTCAAGTAATTCTCGTACATAAGCCTCCTGAGTAGCTGGGACCACAGGCACGACTGGCTAATTTTTGTGTTTTTAGTAGAGATAGGGTTTTGCCATGTTTGTCAGGCTGGTCTCGAACTTCTGGCCTCAAGTGATATGCCTGCCTCAGCCTCTCAAAGTGCTGCGATTACAGGCATAAGCCACTGTGCCCAGCTAATACGTTTTACTTAACCCAATATGTCAAAAACATTTTTATTTTAACATGTAATCACTATTTTTAAGTTGTTAATGAAATACTTTGCATTTCTTTTCTTTTTTCTTTTTTTTTTTTGGTCCTTCTCAGTCTAATCTGTATTTTGCATTTGATATTAAGCCTTCAAAATACAGTGTTTATTTTGTACTCACAGCACATCTCAATTTGGATGCTAAAATTTCATCAGCAATACTTGATCTGTATTTAGACTTAATAAATTTTATAAGTGAAAAAGTTGATTGACATACTCAAATTATTCCAATATACTTGAGTTCCAATAATTGAAGTAATGATCAGGTTTTTAAATTCAAATTAATTAAAATCAAATAAAATGTAAAATTTGGTTCATCAGCCACACTAACAACATAACACAAGTGCTTAACAGACATAATGTTGCTAGTGGCTGCCATATTTTAAAGCACAGCTCTACTGAGTAATACAGATACCAAAAAGTAAAGATAACTAAAGCTAGGATTATACGTACTCATAACAATGCACTGTTATGAAGGAAATATCCACAATTATGTAGTAGAAGCAGGTTAAAGATAACAAATGAGTGAAGTAGAAAAGCTACTTCATTTTTGTAAGTTTAATAATAGGGAGTGGTGGGGAATTGGAAAGTATATGTAGCCTAGAGGTTTGGATGGGGTGGGGTATGGCTTCCTCAGACAAGAAGGCCTCACTAAGGATAATAACATTTGGCTTGGGTCTAAACGAAAGGAGAGGACGGGCCATGTGAAAAGCAGTTAGTGATGGGCAATGTGCGGAATCCGGTTAAAAAGAGAGCAGAGACCAGATCATGCAGAGTCTTGTAGCCCACGGTAAAAGAATTTGCATTTTGTTCCAAGAATGAAAGGAGCCATATATGGCCAAGGAGAGAGTAGGTATTTCTAGAGCTAAGGTAGTTTCAGGTTAGGGGTGGCTTTACAACAACCCTCCACTTTCTTCTTTTTTTTTTTTCTTTCATTTTTTTTTTTGCTACCATTTGCCAATTCACTGAGCAAAACCCTTCCCTTTCTTAAGGTGCTGGCAGTAAATCTTGCAAACAAAATTTGAATTTATATTTTGAAGACAATATAAAATGCAAAATATAGATTAGACTGAGACAGACCACAAAAAAGAAAAAAGAAACAAAAAATACAAAATATTTCATTAACGCTGAGGAGGGAGGTGAGGGGAAAAAAGAAAGAAAGAAAAAAAATACTTCATTAACAACTTAAAAACAAAAGAGCCTCATAAAAAAGAAAGAAAGGGACCTGGCTCATACCAGTAATCCCAGCACTTTGGGAGGCCGAGGCGAGCAGATCACATGAGGTCAGGAGTTCGAGACCAGCCTGACCAATATGGAAAAACCCTGTCTCTACTCAAAATACAAAATTAGACGGCATGGTGGCGCATGCCTGTAATCCCAGCTACTCAGGAGACTGAGGCAGAAGAATTGCTTGAACCCAGGAGGTGGAAGTTGCAGTGAGCAGAGACCGCGCCATTGCACTCCAGCCTGGGCAACAAGAGCGAAACTCTGTCTCAAA